GTTTTATCCATAAAAGATTACAAATGACAACCAGTGATTTTTAACATCAAACTGCAAGTTAACAACAAACACACGTATAACATTTAAGTGTTTGCGACACATTTTGAATAAAAATGAGGAAATTTAAAGCCATAAGGAACTCGCCAGCTTATTTATTTCAATAGGCAGAAGCATATGCTTGCAGCAGACTTTTCACTGTGGAGCACCCACTTTGTAGTATGATATGAAAACACCATCTGGTGTGTGAGCAGCAGCTAGGCTAAGCTAGCTGGGGCTAGATAGGGCCCTGCTGTGTCACAGGATTATCTTACTGTTTGGTAGATCCACTCTATTAGCCCCTAGTGGCTTGGATTATTGGATGATCATTACTGTGTGTGACTGAACATAGGGCTAAGTACCTGCACTTCCTTTGCAGTTCACTCTTGTTAATGTGATCAGAATACACACTGTGAACACATTTCGTAGCATTATGCATTCGTTGCACCTTGTCTTTGACATAAAATCACACACACACACACACACCATTTACCAAATATTCTCTGACTTGAACTCGTGCTGTATGTTTAATACATGATTACTGCCGTCAATGACTTCTCTAAAAACGTACTCTGCATGTCAGAAGAGAGAGATTATGGCACGCTTGGAGCACATGTTTGTTTGTGGAAGCATGTTTCCTTCTAAAGCGGTGAAACAGGATCACAGACGCGAAGAGAAGGCAGCACGTTCAGAAACGGGTACTCTGCTCAACAAAACGAACATCTGCCGTTTCTCATCAGCGAGATTGAAGCTAATGATGAGCCACGAGTGTGCTGACAGAGAGAATGGAATTGAATTGTGTACAAGAGCCCCAGTGAGAGCAGACATATGTTTTAGAAAATGTTGTGGATAGAATATGGGTTTATATAGTGTGTGTCCGTGCATTCGCGCACATGTGTGTAAGCTAAGATACAGATGCCCGAGAGTGGGAGACACTGAAAATAGGCCTCTGCTATTTCTTTTGCAGTCCGTTTATCCATCCATGTTTATACAAGCAGATGAAGGGGTGTGTGTTACCGCAGGTAAAACAACCGTTGTATTCCTCCCATTTCAATCTCTGCTTTCACTAACAGATAATGGAATTACACATCAAAGAAGCTACTCTCTGTATCCAATTCTTCTGTGACCTCTACAAGCCTTTGTTCATATTCACCACAACAACTCCCAGCCCCAAGTCTCCGCCAGCAGGCTACTTATTCCCTGCTTCCTCTCCCCCTCTCTGCGTCTAGGGAGGGATTAAATTTAGATGAAAATGAAATATTCATTCCCACTCAGCAACTGATGGCCATCTTAATTTGATACATATTTTGATGCAATATCTCATTATTGTTCTTTTTCATTACCAAACACTTTTTAATTCACTGCGACGCTCCTTTGGGTAATTCTCGATACAAGCCCTTCTTTTGGATTTGACTTTGTTAAAAGTAGAATCGCAAAGTGCCATTACAGTTTTCTGTGGTCTCTTGAAATATGTCTGAGTCATTTCAGATGAGACATTTACACAGACCCCAAGCGAAAAGGATCTCAGGGAGCGTGCGAGAGGAGACTGCACACTCTATAGCTCGCTAGAAGAGTTAATCACATGAAAACTTCTCAGTCTCTCTCTGCTGCTGGTGCAGGGATAACGACAAGAAATTGAAGTGGCTCTGTGTTTGGAGAATTCAACCAAAAGTGGTGACCACAAACCCGATTTATCCCACTCAAGTTTCGGAGTGGTCACATTGCATACAGCTTCAAGTGCTGCGGAGCTTTAATGTCAGGGCTGTTTCCCAGACAATAATTAAATTTGGAGTCTTGCCTGCCCAAAGCATTTTAGGAAACCTAAGTGAAAAATGCATGTGACCAGGTGTTGTGGAGCCGAGGAAATGAAATCAACACGAAATCATGAAAGAGATTGATTAACTGACACTGATTAAGTGCTTTAAGTATTAGGTAGATAAAGTAATTGATTATTCAGTAAATCCCTGTCAGGCAGTGAATAACCTCAGTGCGAGAAAAAAAGAGACAACAAATGATAAATTAGTTTCATCAATCCGCAGATGAAAGAGACAACGTATATTAATCTGTCATTACTGTATGCTTCACTGGTAGATATATTATAATTCAAGAACGCTATGAATATATTTTCATCTGAACACATTTTCAAATCTGGCGATCCCTGTCTTGGGAAGAAAGCAGTGTGTGTAGAGCATTAGCAAATTGCAGACAGAATGCCGCGCACTCGGGCTACAGAATAAGGCATAAAAAGCTGCTACCATATCCAATAAAATCATTTGTGTACCGTCTTTTTCCATGTTGGCAAACATACAAATTATCTAAGGACGCAGACTATCTTTGGAGAGAGGTGGAAAAAAAATACTGCACTCGCATCCTTGAGCACTTTTGTCTTTATTAGAAAAACATTGCATCATCAACTGAAATGGTCCCTAGATGAGATGAGAGATTGCAAAACACGTCAGAAAGAGAAAAAGAATTATGAAAAGCAAGCAGAGGGAGACTAAAGAGGAGCACAGCATGTAAGAGGACAAATACAGGAGGAGTAGTCTTTTATTCCCTCCAACAAATAGAAGCTGCTGAATGAGACGGAGCGACCATCTGGCCTCAACTTAGAGCAATGCACTGTAAAAGCACTAAAATCAATGGCAACAACTCTACCTTGGATGCCCACCATTACCCAGATGGTGTACTTGGAGAACTGCAGGCCACCTAACCAAGAGCAGACACAGCACAGACAGAGAGTATCATGCTCAAATACCACCGCCCACCTCGATGAATTTCACTGGTTCGCTTATGTTGGTAACCAGTGTTGAGGAGCAACATTAGCTACCCTGCACTGACTATAAGAGAGCCCTCTGTTGGTTTTAGTGGAGTGGCTGTGACACAGAGTGCGTGCACAGACTTCCAAACCAAGTATCAAATTGCAAAAAAAAGAGAGGAAAAAACAGGGAAAACAGGGCTGCTGCACATCAGCTCTAAAAAAGCGCTCATTCCTAAATAAATTGTTCTATACAATACCCAACATTCTGTCCCCGAGAACAATGCGGTATGTTTACAATAATACACGCAGGCTGCATACACTCCAGCTGCTATGATAAATAAAATTACACAATGTAAATATGGTGAGATATATTTTCTTTTCTTTACCTTTCAAATATTTGTCTGTAAGGTAAACAAACTACATGAATACACACGTAGCTATCATGCATACAAATTCAGTTTTAAAAGATCCTATAGAGAGATGAGCCTTTCGATTTTTTTCTTCCCCTATTTTTGACATTCGGGTAAATTCTCAATTTCCCGTATGTCTCTACTCTTATGAAACACAAAAAAAAAACCATGCAACTAAACTGATCCTGCACTGGAAGCTATGATAGATTCTATAAAAAGCAATAGTAGGACTGTAGCACATTTCAGGGTAAATTTGTCAGCACTTTGACATTTTTAAAAATAAAAGGCTGTCAAGTCTATTTCGGGTCTTCAATTGAGCTGCTGCCAAGATAAAAATAAAGAAATAGATAAAGAAATAAGAGGGAAAAATGCCCTTTAACCAAAAAAATTTCAGGTTAGAGCAGAAGAAAGAGAGCCTGAGGATTTATGCAGTTTCTAATACATCACCAAAGTCCATAAAGTGTGATGTCAGGAGTCATGGCTCCTCACAACACTTTAGTCAATCACAGGTACACAGGCCTGCCAGATATCTCCATATTATGTTCAGCAGTAAACATTATTCCACACATCTTGAGTGTATGCATCGTGTTTCTTTGGCTTTAATTCAAAAAGCACATTAAATATGCAGAAGGTCAACAGCGTTCACTCAAGGTTATTGTGCAATAAACTGCTGCTATACATCTTCATGTTGGAGTCTGATAACTTTATTTTAAATTTAGCTTTTCAGGGACCACCCACAGTGCTCGCCAGGAATTATGAATTACAAAATCACTGTGGGATGTTGATGATTTGTAGATATGTCATAGAAAGAGACAACTGGTCTATTAAGGCAATTCACCCGCTGTTACTGTGTAACACATGGGCTATCCCTGTTTGTAACATTATTCCACTTTCGCCCATCATTTACAGCTGGGAGATGCTCTCACTCCCTGTACTCAGGCTGTTGTAATGGTATGTTAATGTGGACCAGTGCCATTTTGAGTAATTGTCCTGCACGGCACTCTGCCAAATGTCAAAAACGATTTGCCTTGTGACAAAAAAACGTATTGATCTTCATTCTGTTTCTGTCTCTTGGCCGCGCAAAACGTTTCAGCGCATTGCCAGCTCCGGATGACAATTCGCACATTGTTCCACTGTGAGTGATGAGAAAAAGACAAAGCCACCACACACCTGGCTTCGTTTTTTTTAGGGTCTGTCACGGTGTAGATAAATGAAGTAACCAAGATTTACCTGAAAATGCTACTGTTTATATATCGTAAGCGTGTTACTCTGTGATTTGATGATATTGTGGGAACATCCTTGTCCCCTTAATATATTATATAAGACGATATTAAACTTTTGGATGGAGCTTGTTTGTTTTTTTTATAACTGTGTTCTTTAATTTGACAGACTGTCTTTAAAAACTTACTTCCAGAAGGCATGGCAATGAGCCTTATTTAGCTGGTGACTCAACATGCTGGCTGTAGCAAATGTAACAGACAAAGCAGGGTGCATAGAGGTCACACTAACCCACAATATTTCATTGCATGGTTTCCGAGTGTTTCTCGATATTACTGGCAGCGTGCGCTTTAATGCACTCATCTCTTGTTGCTTACCATTTGCACGTCGTTTAAGTAAATCGAATATTTACATCCGCCCCGGCTGTAGAGAGCGGTAAATGAAAGCGACTGTTTATTTACTACAAAAACTATTTGCTGTCGCGGAGAAAGCGGAACGCTGAAATGCACTGAATAGGCAGCAACTTTCAGGGTTACAGTACAAACGTGTGTGTGCAAATGTAACCGTGGACAACTTACCTATTCGAATAACATGAGGCATCCCGTAAGAGTACTGAATCCAAAAGAGACATGCAATCAGCGATGTCCAGTAATCCCTAATCGCACTCCGGGGGAACAGCCAAGTATTTCGCATGGTTGTAAAGTCGCGGGATCCACTTTTTTAAAATTCCAAAGACGAGTCAAAATTGCTCATCAAAACTGAATTCGACGGAGCATATATGGATTTTGGAGTCTGCGACAAATCAGCGCTCATTGTACTTGGTGCAACATTCTCCCGGGGTTTCTTTTTTTTTCTGTTTCTCACAAGTCTAAAAGCGACCCGATCAGGATGAAGCCGCCAGTCCCTCACAGGCAGATCAGCGAAACACCTGCGAACGCAGGCTGCAACAATTAGCCTGCAGGAGTCTCTTTATCCCCTCCTACCGACGATGCTATCTGTCTGCTGGCAAGTACCACGGCAACAGCCGAGCCGGACTCCTACACCTCTGTTGAAGAGGAGAACTGCGCCTGCGGAACTTTGGGTCGTCTCGGACGATTCTGTCGTCCGAAAGCCAAACAGAGAAAAAGCGCAGAGGATTTTCAATACACTTAAGTGGCACGAAATAAAATGCTTGTTGGAGTTTAGTCACTCCGGTCTTTCATTCCATTAACGCTAACAGTTCAGAACACAGTGGAGGAAAGCAGCTCCGTGACGCTCCGCTCCAGTTGCGCACGGTGATTGCACAGGGCTGGTTATCGAAGAACGTCCAATCTGCTCAAAGGGACCCCCGTTAAACAGTGTTGATTTTACAAATCTTCCAGTTTGTGCTGGATGGAAAGGTAGTGCTGAAAGCTGTGCATCAGCGTGCGTCTGACGAGCCTCCTTCCACGGTGCCACTAGAGGCACGCGTCGTTACGCATAGTTGTCAACTATGTCCAAGAAGTGTTTTATGGAGGTGAGAGGGATCCGAATGATCACTTGATTCACTGCTTGTTCCAAATGCTGTGTACAGGTACATTATGGTATTCTTAATATCTTCTCATTTTTATTATACAGTATTTTTGGGTTTGTCTTATTGTGATCTGTTGTTGTTAGAGCTTCTTGTCTTTTTTCAGACACTTAGATAGAAATTGGATAGAAATTGCAATATACTTCTTTGCCCCAAGTAAAAAGAAAAAAAAACATCCAGCTGCCTAGAGCACTGTGAATAGGATAAAGTATCAGCATGAAAGAAATAAGTGCCAAGTGAGGATTGGGCCACTCAGAAAGCAGGTTTCTTTTTTTTTTTTATCGCTGTTATTGGAGACGTTCTGTCAGTGTCCGTGAGTGCATTAATCCCCCAACTGTTTGACGCCTGCCTGCCATTAAAAGAAGAAGAAAAAAATCAGACCCGTCAACCATAAACTGCAGGTCACATGCATATACATAAGCAGAGTGCTTATTATGTCTCATTCTCCACAGCCTGGACAGCCTGGATGTATGGAATTTGCTGCTTAAATTACACATTTTACTTTTTGAGTTATGCCTTACTGAAACAGGCAACTTAACCTTATAAGTTAAATTTTATAAGATTCAAGCTAAAGCTCTCCAGGATTCAAATAAAACTGTTTAAATTAAACATGCTTTTAGTTGATTAATCATATATAAATATATGTTTTACTTTAAAATGAATAGCTACATGGATAGATGTGTCGTTTCCTAGAAACGTTTACTAGGATCTGACATCAAGGGAATCAAATTATATTTTTAAGCTTGATTTCTGACAAGTCAATACTGGAAAAAAATATGAATTGATATTTTGTTTTAACATTAATGATTTGCAACTATTAAGCATGTTTTTAAAAATGCACCGCTACTCTTTTATACTTAATGAAAGCTGTTGATGAGATAGTGCTGTGGCTCATTGGTTTTATTTTTCTGCTTGGAATGGGGGAGAGGAATAAACTGTGCATTACGGGGCATGCAAGCAAGAACAAGCCAAACTGACTGCCACTGCATATTCATGTCTCACAGAGCAGATTTATCGCCTCTTGGCACAATGTAAGGACTATCAACGTGAGTTATGTGGCCCGGCTCTCGCATTATCGAGATTCATTGACTTGCTGCTCTTTCAAATACAAAATGTACACAGCTCTAGCAAACAAGACATTCTGGGTCTGTGGGTGCCCTCTATAGAGAGATGGCGGTCTGTGCTCTCAATCACTTCGGCTGATTCAGGCCCGAGAGCAGGGGAGATCCCCATTGTGACAAATAGTCAATTTAAAATATAAAATGTATATTTCAGTCAGTTTTCCACACTGTCAGAAGTTGTGGCAACCAGATATCAGTCGTGTCTGTTTCTTACTGCAGCTGGCAGTAAATCTTCATACCACCATCAGTTTTGTCTCCCTGTCATTGTAAGAAGTGCCATAGGTTACAATATTCCTCCCATATTAAAAGTACTAGGAATACACTTTATTAACACAAAGGGAGTAAACAGAAATTCTCCAAATCTGTCATACACAGCCATGTTTTTCATTTTATATTGAACTTTTTTTTTTAATCCAGGGTGGAGGAAGAGGCAAATCTGCTCCTTATGTAAAAGTGTTGATGTAAAAATACACCATAACAAGTCAAAAATTCAAAATCCTACATAAGTAAATTAAAGTACACAAGCATTCAAATTAAAATATACTTCAAGTATTCAGTTTTAGAGTAGAACAGAATCACATCACACTGTAGATTTAACCTCGGTTTGGACTAGCAACTCTTTTTTTCTCAGATCCGTAAAACTGGTGAAAGTACCACACTCACATAGATGTCCTTGATGAAATTAAATTTATAAAGGCAAAATATTTTCATCTACATTTAAAATCCACTTAAACACATATGAAAACAGGTCCGGCAATTTTGAACTTTTATGTCAGTCATCACAGCAGGAGAGCATTCATCAAAATACAGTTCAAAAAGCAGTTGCACACACTTGGAAACATTTGTATGTTTGAACAGACTTCATGCTGAAATTTTTAAAAAGTGGCATTTTGTTAAGGAGTGAAATGTATAGTAACAACCACCATTGAAATAACTTCACTCTCAGAGTAAATTAATAGTAGTTTAAGTTGACACTTTTTAAGCAAGTCGTACATATATGGCAACACAGTGGGTCATTTTTATTTTCTTTAAGAAATGATTGCTGTTGCATTTACAACCTGCCAACGATCAATTCCTCGTCTGGCAAGTTGGTATAACTAATGGCTCCAAGCATCAAGTCTCTATTGTAAAGCTGGAGACATTGACAGGAGGTGCACTTATGTTACTGGATTGATCAGCACACATTTTGTTTATTTTTGTGAAGATTTTCAGAGAGAAGAAAGGACGGTCAATTTACACGACTCTGTTATTGGCTAGAAAAGATGTGCAATCCAAGATGTGAGATTGCTCATAATTATTTGGAGAAATTGCGGCTGCTTTGATTGAGCCTTAACAATGAGTCATGTGTAGCTTTTTCACGATTGATTTTGCTTTTCTCCTTAGAAAAAAAAAACCCTATAAAGAACTCTGCCACCAGACTGAACATAATGCTGAAGATCGAACATCTCCCCTCAGCAATGGTCAATTGGAACTCATCGCTAAGTTTAATGTGGTTATAAATTAGCTGCCTTTTGAAGTCTTTTTGATGGGATTTGCTTTTTTTGAAGGAGAAGCTTTGGCTTTGTTGAAAGAAAAGATAATTGTTTCACCAAAAGTCCACAAAGTCAACTTTTCAAACTATGAGGGAGAGGTATTGATCTCGTGAAGAAAAGATAGTGACAAATCAAAAATGGTTTTGAAGACACAGAAGCATGTTTGGGAATGAATATTCTGTACTTGGGCTTTCAGTGGAAGTGGAATAAAGTACACCTGTGAGGGCAATTTCACATTTTTGTATTATGAAGTGTCTACATAGACTCTAAAATAAATAAAAAATCAACCTTTTTAATGAAAACCAGAGCTCAGAAAAGATTCATGAAATAGGGTGGAATGTCAACTGACTGTTGATTGCACATACTGCTCCCGTGGTTTGTGACAAGCCCATCATATCAGGTCAACAATGCCCCTGCAACTTTTGTGGGCAGACAGACAACTGTATGTCCGTTTGCCCTGTTCAACCATACTAGAACAATAGAGCTGCTTTGCTGACAGATTTAACTCTTGTTAGGGTCTCACACTCTTATAATTCAAGGTGAGGTGCCATGTGAAGACAAGGTTATGAGGAATTGGCCCAATTCGTGCGTTGATTGCAACATTTACTGGGGCTTTAGAGTACTCTGGCTTCGAGTTACGGACTGCTCAAGACGTATGTGCTGCTGCTGACGTATGTGGCGGTGGCGTGTTGGGGAGAAGGGAGACAATCACAACCCTGATCAGTCATCCAGACAGTCTGTGAGATGGGAAATGACTGCTAGCGGGGTTCAGCCACTGGTTATAGATGAGAAAGGCACAGGGTAATAATAGATTCCTGACCAACCTGATTTATCAATTGAATTATTAGTGTTATCATCCTTACTGTCCCCATCATCTATCTTCAATAAATACTGAATGCCAGCTTACGATGGTGAAGCAGTATGAATGTGTAAAAGAAAAAAGAAAAACAAATACCACAGTTTCATGACCTTTAAATCGACACCTCTACATTTGAAGCTTAGGCTCAGTAAAAGCATGATGAATGTTGTGGCTACAAAGATGACTAGAATTTTCTGCTGCACAGTTACATACATTGACGCTTTTAATCTACAAAATGGGACAAGAAATTTCCCAACTCCTCACAGGGAGGGCAAAAAAACATTACTTGATATAAATTCAAGGTTGCATAAGTCAGATTTATGCATCTATGGAAAGCCTCCAGTCCTCCTGCTCAAAGCCTTATTCTGACCCACTTGGGGGAACACATATATTTCACCACGAATCTCAAGCTTGCACATAGAGCAAAGATCAGCTTGCCTGCCAAACTGTCCCATTCTGCATGTTGATACAAGCTTGTTGTGATGAAAGCTGAGTCTCTTGCTACAAAGCCAAACAGTTTTCAGTGGAAGAGTCTGCACTGTCCATGACCAAGGGTTGTGCATGAAGTGAGGAAAATAGCCAGGAGCGTAGTATTTTTTTTTTTTTCTTCCAACATTCGTAGCCATGAATTC